ATTAGCTAGGTGTGATGGCACCCATGTGTAGTGCCAGCTACTCAGGAAGCCAAGGCAGGAAGATCCCATAAGCCCAGGAGTTTGAGGCTACAGTGAGTTACGACCATGCCACTTAACTCCAGTCTGGGTGACAGAGCCAGACCCTATTTTTAAAAACAAGTCAATATTGATCCAATTGCTGAATATTGGAGAGGTAAAGTCAAATAAAATTGGATTCTAGGAATTGGGAAACCAATGACCATCTTAGCCAACAGAAATGTAGCGAGTGGTGAAGCCAGAATCCAGATGGGAGTGAGTTTAAAAGTGAAAAAGGCCAGGCACAGCAGCTCATGCCTGTAATCCCAGCACTTTGGGAGGCTGAGGCAGGTGGGTCACTTGAGGTCAGGAGTTTGAGACCAGCCTGGCCAACATGGTGAAACACCATGTCTACTAAAAATACAAAAAATTAGCCAGATATCATGGCATATGCCTGTAATCCCAGCTACTCAGGAGGCTAAGGCAGGAGAATTGCTTGAACCCAGGAGGCAGAGGCTGCAGTGAGCCGAGATTGCGCCATTGCACTCCAGCCTGGGTGACAGAGCAAGACTCTATCTGAAAAAAAAAAAAAAAAAAAAAAGATGAAAATGTGAAAGAGAAATCAGCAGATGAGGAACATGAGATTTCGAGAAGTATGATGGAGGCCGAAAGGAAAAGGATTGGGCCACAGCTAGAGGGAAAGAAGGGTTTTTTTTTTCTAAAGGGGAAATAAAGAGGTTCACAAGTTTAGAAGCTGAGAGGAAAACAGAGAGTAGTTGATGATGCAGCAGACAGAGAGAATCTTTAATGGAGGATCTTGGAGAAGAGATGAGATGGGCAGTCCTGAGCAGAAAGAGGAACTGGTTTCAGTGGGCTGGGAAGCATGCATGCCTTCCTCTCTGAGGCCACAAGACCTACAGATAAACATTTGAAGATGCTTGTCTATACCTAATGGCCCCCATTTTCTTGTGTACTAGAAGACAAGGTCTGCTGAGAAAGATGAGTAGCAGGTGGGGTCTTGTTAAAAGTTTTTTAATTTTTTAGACAGGGCCTAGCTCAGTCGCCCAGGCTAGAGTGCAGTGGTGCAACTCTAGCTCACTGCAATCTCAACCTCCGATATTAGTTGTTTTTTTTTTTGTTTTTTTTCTGGGAGACAGGTGATTTCAATATGTTATCTAGGTTGGTCTCAAACTCCTGGGCTCAAGTGATCCTCCCACTTCAGGCTCCCAAGGTGTTGCGATTCCAGGCATGAGCCACCGCACCCACCCTGGGATCTTAGCTTGGAAACTAATAAAAATTTGAAATACCCAATAAGAGAAATAGGAGAGGACAATGATCAAGGTAAAGTACAAAGGTTGCAGAAGAGGCACACAGGGCCCAAATGAAATTCAAAGCCAAATTGTTTATAATGATAGCCATCCGGAGAACTGATTAATATCCTCCACCTGTCCTCAGTTAACTTCAGTAAAGTTGAGGAAAAAGATAGCATGGGCAGGGAGTGGTGGCTCATGCCTGTAATCCCAGCACTTTGGGAGGCCGAGGCAGGCAGATTACTTGAGGTCAGGAGTTTGAGACCAGCCTGGCCAACATGGTGAAACCCTATCTCTACTAAAAATACAAAAAAACTAGCTGGGTATGATGACAAACACCTGTAATATCAGCTACTCAGGAGGCTGAGATAGAAAAATCACTTGAACCCAGGAAGCGGAGGTTGCGGTGAATTGAGATGGCGCCACTGCACTCTAGCCTGGGTGACAGAGTGAGACTCCATCTCAAAAAAAAATAAAATAAAAAGCATGAAGAAGAAAGAGGAGATTGCAGGTGCTGAGTTGGCCAAGTAAGCACACCAGAGGAACAAGGGGACAGAGGTATCCAGGCTGGCTGGAGAAAGGGAGAAATAAAAGGCTGAAAAAAATGCAGTCAGGGAACTGAAGTCTGGCATGAGGCCAAAGAGGATGTAAGTTGGAGTGAGAGTGAAGGAAAAATTAAGGGTATGAGGTGTAACTAGAGTAAATTGGAGAGTGAAATGTAACAGTGCCCACATACAGGCAATAAGTAGTCTGTTTATCAGAGTAGCATAAAAAGTGAGGCAGTGTGCACCAGAGTTAGCCATAAAAAAAATTATCTTTAATCCAAATGACTTAAAATGACACTGCATTGATAAGAAATCCACATTGATAAAATATACTTTGATGCCTGAGGTGGGGTGGAAAAGAGAACTTTCACAATTACATGATTGCTTACAACTGTTCATTTTAATTCTGTACTTAGTGGGGCAAGAGTCTGGAATCAAGATGTGTCAATGTTCAAATGTAGAGTAACTTTGGAAGGATTTGCTCTGATCTGGGGTTTGGTATAAAATAAACGGATTATTGCCAGCTTGAGAAGAAAAGTGAAAGTAAATAAGTTAAGCAAGACCTTAATTGTTTGGCAAAGGGGCAGAACCTGGAATAGGTGGGAGAGTATAGCAGAGGAGCTGGGCTCTGGTTCATTTGTTGGCATTCTCTGTGAGTCCATGGGGGAGTCATGCCCCTTCTTCGGGTCACTCAATTTCCTTACTAGTAAATGAAGATGACCCCTACCACTTCTAACACTGTCACTCTCCTTATAGATCTGTTTGGTCAAATTTCCTTGGTGTAACCACTTAATTTCAGGCTGGATTATCAGAAGTGTTGAAAGAGTTAGAAAGAGTTGGAAAGGGTTAGGTTTTTTTTTTTTTTTTTTTTGAGACGGAGTTTCGATCTTGTTACCCAGGCTGGAGTGCAATGGCACGATCTCGGCTCACTGCAGCCTCCGCCTCCTGGGCTCAGGCAATTCTCCTGTCTCAGCCTCCTGAGTAGCTGGGATTACAGGCACGTGCCACTATGCCCAGCTAATTTTTTGCACTTTTAGTAGAGACGGGGTTTCACCATGTTGACCAGGATGGTCTCGATTTCTCGACTTCGTGATCCACCCGCCTCGGCCTCCCAAAGTGCTGGGATTACAGGCTTGAGCCACTGTGCCCGGCCTCAGTTTTTTTTTTTTAATGAACTAATTTTTGAGCAGTTTTAGATTTATTTTAAAAATGTAGCAGAAAGTACAGAGTTCCCATGTACCTCCTTACACATAGTCCCAGTTTCCCCAATTATTAACATCTTGCATTAGCATGTACATTTGTTCCAGTCGAAGAGCCAATATTGACACATTATTAACTAAAGTCCATTGTCCACACTACATCTTTGTTTTGCACATTCTATGGGTTTTGACATATGTATAGTGATGCACATGTACCATTACAGTATCCTACTGAATAATTTCATGGCTCTAAAAATCCACTGTTCCATCTATTCATCCTCTCTTTTTCCCCACCCCAACCCTTGGCAACCATTTATCTTTGTACTGTCTCCATAGTTTTGCCTTGCCTAAAATGTCATATAGTTGGAATCATATAATATGCAGGCTTTTTTTGATTGGCTCTATAGCAATACATATTTAAAGTTCTTCCAGTCTTTTTGTGGCTTCATAGCTCATTTGTTTTTAGTACTGAATAATATTTCATTGTTTGGACGTGCCATTGCTTATCCATTCACTTATTGAAGGATATCTTGGTTGCCTCTAGGTTTTGGTAATTATGAATAAAACTGCTATCAACATTCATGTGCAGGTTTTTGTGTGTATGTAAGTTTTTAACTCATTTGGATAAATACCAGGGGGTTGTGATTGCTAGATGGTATGGTGAGAGTATATTTAGTTTTGGAAGAAGTTTCCAAACTGGCTGTACCATTTTGCATTTGCACCAGCATTAAATGAGAGTTCTTTTTGCTCCACGTCTTCAACAGCATGTGGTCTTGTCAATGTTTTTGGATTCTGGTATCTAACAGGTATGTAGTGGTATTTCATTTTTGTTTTAATGTGCAATTCACCAATGACACATGTTGAGTATATTTTCATGTTTATTTGCCATTATGTAACTTCTTTGATGAATGTGTATTCAGATCATCTGCCCATTTTTTTTTTAACTGAGTCATTTGTTTTCATGTTGTTGAGTTTAGACTTGATTTTATAGAACTCTTTTGCCAATGACACGAGGCTTAAACAAGCACCCTTGCTTGACCCTGTCTGGTGTTGTCCAGAGGCCCTCATGGGTGAAGTATAACTGCACAGTTTATGCATACATTGTACCAAACATAACTGAAAGACTCTTCATCAAGGTGCTGGTAACAGAGAAAACTTATCTAAGAGACATAGTCCACTGAGAAGAGTCTGAAAAGGAGGATTTTGACCATTAGATCCAGAAGAGAAGGCTGGTAGACGCCACCTTGATCAAGTGATCCAAGATAACATTACCAGTGATTAGACATCGACATCTTGTCTTTCTCAAGCAGGGTCATCACTTCTGGGGTACTCCTGCCCAAAAAAAGCGCAACCTGAATCCAATCAGGAGGAAACATCAGACAAGACAAAACTGGGAGACATTCTACTTAACGGCTGGCCAGTACTTTTAAAATGTGGTTTCATCGTGAAAGAAAAAGAATGACAGAGAACTGCCCTAGATTAAACGGAGACTAAGGAGTCACGACATCTCAATGCAGTGTATGATCCTCATCGGATCCCAGAACAGAAAACGACCCTTAGAGGGTCAATTAGTGAGATGTGGTAAGTGCTATCGATTAGCTAATCGCATTATCCCAGTGGGAGCGTCCTGTGTTTGATCACTGCACTGGCATTATATAAGATGTTAATATTTAGAGAAGCTGGCTGAAGAGTTACGGAAATCTTTTGTGCTGTGTTTGCAACATTTTCGAAAGTCTTAAATTGTTTCAGTTCAAATGAAAAGTTAAAAACAAAGTTAGAAGTTCCAGAAGGCTGCGCGCCAGCCGCGCCTCCAACCCGGAGCACCAGGGTCGTCCTGGGTGGGAGCCCCCAGTCCGCGGGTCCACGCTCCGCCCGGCGGGGATTGAACCCGCACCCGAGAAGCGCCGCCCCCGCTCCCGCCCCGCCCCGCCCCGCCCCGCTCAGGCCGCGCCGCGCCGCCGCTGCGCCGCGGCCGCTACCCGCACGCACCCGCCGTCATGCTCCGGGCCGCGCTACCCGCGCTCCTGGTGCCGCTGCTGGGCCTCGCCGCTACTGCCGTCGCGGGTAAGCGGGTAAGCCGTCCCTCACCGGGACCGCGCGCCACTGCCTTCGCCCCCTGCCCAGAGCACCCTCTTCGTGCCCGAGCATCCCGAGGGCGGCCCGCAGACGCCGCACCCGGCCGGGCGTCCTGCCCTTCCCTGCACGCCCGTCCCCAGTGTGCCCCGGCTCTGATCACCTCCCACCGCCTGCCCTCGGGGAAGGGGGGTGGCCAAGAATACGGGAGGGCCCTGTCTTCCTCGGAGCCCAAGTCCTCAGCGCAGACCTCACTTCTCTGGGAGGGAACCCCGAGGAAGGCCGATTGGCCGGAGAGCTGAGGGGCTTGGAGTCGCACAACGGCGCCGTTTCTGGGCCATTTTGGGCTGAAACGAGAAGCGGGGAACTTGGCGGCGATTTCCCCAGCTGGTGCGCGGCCGGGTTGCGGGTGCTGGGATGGCGGTGGGGGCGGGGGGAAGCAGGCCCTCTTTTGCAAGTAGGGCTGTTTGTCCAGTTGGTTGGTGTTCAAGCTGTTGAAACAGGGTAACAGTTCAGCCAAATAACCCCTGGATGGAAGAGGAACGGGAACAGGCGAAGCTTGGATTTCACTGAAATCAAGGGATTTTAAAGTTCTATTCTGCTGTTGTGCAACTGACATCTGAAAAGTCACACACGTGATCAGTGATTTACCAAATGACTCGTGAGGAAGGTGCACAATTCTATTGATTGTGTGTTTAAAAAAAAAGAAAGAAAGAAAAAACAAGTTTCTGTAAAAGCACGTCAAAAATATGTGGCTGGAGAGACTCTGGGGAAGACAGACTTCCAAAAACACCACTGACTGAACAATGCCAGGAATGAAAGAGCAAAATAAACAAGAACTAAATGCAGACTTGTGTGGGCTTAAATAAAGTGATTATGCAAGACATTCCTGCCCTCTAAATTCACTGCCTTTTTATGATAAGTGCCTGCTCCAAGCCTGCTGACAGGAATATTTCAGCAGACCTCAGTGTTGAAGGCAGCAGCTGCTCAGAACTTGGGTACAAACTGAAGGTTCCTTTCTTGAAGCTTTTGTGGACCAGCATTTATGATTGGTTATGCCATCTGCTGCCTGCCAAGAGGGCAGGAACAAGATGTGCCCATGTTCACAGTGTTCAGGCTGGGTAATTAATTTTGTCTAAGACAAAGGTGGGCTCTTTCTGAACCCTCCTGCACGTCCTCATCGTGCAAGCCAGTAACATCTCAGCTCCCATGTAAACCACCCTCTGCAAGGCTGGCATTTGTGCTTTAGGCTAGTCAAATTTTCTTGTCAGATTTTCTTTCTGTCAGACTTTTAAAGAAAATCAGTTTCTAGATTTTGGTATGTCTCTTCTTCAGTGAAGCTATTTTGACCAGGAATATAGGGCAAATTTCTCTTTGGAGATTTTTGTGCATTTCCTTTGATAAGTCTGGTGTGGATCAATAGGCTTTTCAAGAGCTTTAGAAAAGTGCATGTTGAATAAATTAGTGCTGTTAATTAATCGGCTCCTCTAAGTCAGGAAGCTTTAAGGATTAATTTAGAAATGAGCATGAGCTTTGACCTAGCTAGTTAACCAACTTATCTGCACTTCAGCAAAACAGAGATAATACCTCACGGGGCTATTGGGAGCATTAAGTGGGAACTCCACGTCTAGTCCCTATTACAGGCATGGTTCATCTTCGTTTCCTTCCCTTTATTCTCTTCACACAAAATGAAGGGTAATTGTACAACCAGAAAACATGTAAATACCACCTTATGTGTATTGGATGTTTATGGTTACTGAGCACATTCATATATATGCTGATGTTATAAGGCTAAAAATCTGTGTGTTTTTCATAATACCTCACAAATCTCCCATCCAAGCAAGATCAGGAGTCATATTTGGCTTAAAACTAAGTCAAGAAAGAGTTTGTTGCTGAATACCAAGATCTTAATAGAAAAGTTCTTATGATCTTGGATAATAAATATGAGTATTGCATATAAATGTGATGTTGAAATGGAAGTCATTGTTATTGCCTGTCATTTTGGAGGTTATTAGTGAAGTGATCTTATGTTGTTCTTAGCTATTATTTTGAAAATCACAACGGACAAAACATTCTTTAAATTACTGAGTGAAAATCCATGGCATCCCTTTAAAAAGTTTTTCTTTGAGGATGCTTAAGCACATAAAAGATGATTAGTATGTGTTTACTGGGTCAGTGGTTTCCTCTGCCTGGCATGAGATGAGTGAACAAGCATCTTCAGAGTAAGTCCTCATTCCGCGATCATCATGTGGATCAGAGTCTAGGTTTCCAATTTTGAATTGCTATGTTCTACAAGCCTTAGATGAGGTGCCTCTGCCTTCCTCCCTGATGTCAACTTTTACCATTTTTCCTGCCATTCACTCTGTGTATCCACAGAGTAAACAGTATCTGAGTATTGGAGTACCAACACCTCTGGTCCTTCTGTGCATACCACCTTCCCCCAGTCCTTGGCACAGCTGCCCCCACCTCCACCATTCGGATCTCTCTTCATGTGTCAGCTCCTGAAGCCTCCTGGAAGACCCACATCCTCCATCACATCTCCATGTTTTATCTTTTCCAAGCCTTTCTGAATGCATCATGTTTATTCATCTGTCTTGTTTGTTGCTTCTCTTACCAGAAGGAAGCTCCATAACAGCAGGGATTTTTACCATCTTGTGGATTTTTGTTTTGTTTTGATTTGTGTCTCTTCACTTTATTCTAATTTGTAATAAAAGGATAAAAAATAGGTGAGTTATTTTAAAAAGTAGATGGGATAAGTGGATTGCAGTATTTTTCAAATTATGTTACCTCTGCTAGGTGCTCATTTCATAATTGAATTCAAAGCCTTAAATCATCTTAATCCATTGATGCCCTCTCCCCTCCCCTCCCCTCCCCTCCCCTCCCCTCCCCTCCCCTTCACTTCCCTCCCCTCCCCTCCCCGCCTCTCCTCTCCTCTCCCCTCTTCTCCCCCCTCTCCTCCCCTCCCCACCTCTCCTCTCTTCTTTTTTTATTTTTCCCCCCCGCAAGGCAGAGTCTCTCTCTGTCACCCAGGCTGGAGTGCAGTGGTGCAATCTCAGCTCACTGCAACCTACACCTCCTGGATTCAAGAAATTCTTCTGCCTCAAACTCTTGAGTAGCTGGGATTATAGGTGCATGCCACCACGCCCGGCTAATTTTTATATTTTCGGTAGAAACAGAGTTTCACTATGTTGGCCAGGCTGATCTCAAACTTCTGACCTTGTGATCTGCCAGCCTCAGCCTGCCAAAGCGCTGGGATTACAAGTACAACCCACCATGCCCGACCTGATGCCACCTTTTCTGACTCTTGTGTATGGCACAGTGATGTTTTAGGGGAAATTATCTCAGATTAAATATGAGTATTTTAAAATAAATTATGAAATGCTAATGTTTATCTTCCAATGAAAAGGTGAATTACAATTAGGTATTATTTCAGGACTTCCTTTACTGTTGATAATCTTTTAACAAGTTGCTTATGTGATGAAAACTAGTTTTGCAGCATGGTTACTACTTTCCACAGTTTTTCATTGTTCATATCATGTATTTCATTCCTTTTTTGGGTTTTTTTTTTTCATTTACATATATATATTTTAGAGACAGGGTTTCACCATGTTGGCCAGGCTGGTCTTGGACTCAGACCTTGTGATCCACCTGCCTGAGCCTCCCAAAGTGCTGGGATTACAGGCATGCACCATCGAGCCCGGACCCTTTTGTGGGTTATTTAGATTTTGTTTGTTTGTTTTGAGAAAAGGTCTCATTCTGTCACTGAGACTAGAGTACACTCAGGGCTCACTGCACCCTTGACCTCCCGGGCTCAAGTGATCCTTCCACCTCAGCGCCCTAAGTAGCTGAGACTGCAGATGCATGCCACCATGCTCTGCTAATTTTTAAAAATTTTTTTATAGAGATAGGGTCTCACTTTGTTGCCTAGGCTAGTCCTGAACTCCTGGGCTCAAGTGATTCTTCTACCTCAGCCTTCCAAAGCTCTGGGATTACAGGTGTGAACGGCTTTGCCTGGCCTGTTTTAGATTTTGAGGGCAAATCTCTAAGAAAATGGATCAATGATGCCTAAAGAGAAAGATACAGATTAACAATGGCACACCCCTTCTATGAACAAATATTATAACAGCCTTTCTGAAGAGGGAAGTGATGAGAGACTATGGAGGTGGATGTCTTGAAAGCTAGATTGGGAAGAGTGAAGGAGAGGGGATGGAGTGTCAGAATACCTCAGTTTCCTTGGGATTCAGAGAGATCTTGCAGCTCAGAGTACAGCCACAGAATCTCTGGATTCGTTAGGGACTTGGAACAGCCACTCCGTCCTCCATACATTATAAATGTCATAAATAGCCCCTCATCTTCATCTGTCTCTGCTACAGTTGCTCTTGCAGAAGGTATGTGACTAACTCACATCTTAATGGGAAAGAAGCAAAGGTCTTATTATTGACAATGAAAAACAAAAAGAAGTCTTTGCCTTTTCTTTTGTTAATATTTAGAACAAGTATGTCCCAAGAATCACTTCCTCATGTGCTTTTTTTTTTTTTTTTTTTTTTTAGAGAGAGAGAAAATGAGCACTTAAAAAGGAACAGAGAGTTCTATTAGGTTTGACTAATAATGCAAAGTATTCCTGTGGATATGATGTTATCTTCCCTTAGCATGTGATAATTTTAGGCAGAGGATCTATATAGAAACTTTTGGAGTTATGCTAAATACAACTTTTAAAATATTCACGAGGCTCCTAAATTTCTGTATATATTAAATAATTATAAAATTATAAAATCCCTAAGAGTCATTTAGGTGCACTATTAATAACAGCCTATCTTTCAGGACTATTGTGAAGAAATAAGAGTAATAGAAAGGCCCTTTACAGAGAGCTCAGTGGGCAGGTTTTTAATTATATCAGGATTATAGCAAAGCTACTTAGCACTGAAGACAACATAATTTAGCCTTTTGCTCATGAGGTGCATGAACGTCAACAACTCTCCTCACAGGAGTTA